AAAAAAAAAAAAAAAAATTAATTCTTGCATCTGGACAAATAAGAAATTTTTAAAAAATTAGATATATCGAAATGTTCTAAACAAAGATAATGAGATGAAAAATATTTTTAATAATTTTTCTTCTATATATTAGGCAAATGAAGGAAAGACATTATTATTACCAGAAGAAATGGAAATGATTAAAGCGAATTTAGTAACTGTAGGCAATACTGCCGATGTAAGTGGAAATACTGGAGTTGAAGTAGCTAATGATTCCAATACTGTTCCCGAGGAATTATTTCGAAAATATACTGAGACTGATTCGAGACCTTTGACTCCTGCACCTACACTCGCTAGCGGTCCTCCTTTGACAAATAGAGCGACTCAGGAAGAATTTCCGGTGGCTTGCAATTTAAGAGAACGAACTACGTTGATTCTAGATCTTAGAACGAATCCACAAAAACAGGTGGTTTGTAATTTGTGCTAATTCTGTTGAATTCAAAATTTAAAGCTTTTTTAATTATTAATTTTTTTTTAATCGTTAATTATATAATATATTATATTATTAATATTTAAAAAGTAAAATTTATTTATTTATAGGAAAATGAAACATTTAGTTGGCATGCATTGACTTTAGAACCACCGCCAACCCATCGAAAAAATGAGATTGTTATATCTAAACCGACTTCAAGACGTGCGATAGAAAATTCGATTCATGCAGATTCGACGATTGATATTCCAAATGTAGATGCTTCTAATGAATCGGTATTTATAATTAAATCAATATAATATGCATAAAAAAATTCAAAATCAAATATTTTGTGAAATAATATAGAAAATATTATATGCTAATAAACATTTAAATATAATTTTGAAATGATTTTTTAAAATTTTATTAAAGATAGATATATAAAAATATGTATAACATTTATGATATAAAATATCATTTTTTAAAAACTAACATTAAATACTTGTATATAAGAAAAAGAAATTACATTGTATAATATACCATCTTAAAAAAATTCTATTTATTGCTCTAACTAATAACTTTGAAAATTATTGTTTGAAATTACAATTTATTAAATTTAGGTTAATAATAATAAATATTTTCGTATTTACATGCTATATAATTCTGAAATCATATTTTAAAATCTTTTAGAATTCTAATAGAAACGCGATAGAAGAAGAAACAGAAAAATCAAATAAGGATATGACAATTGTACGCAGAAGAGGAAAACGATTACGAAAAAGAAAGCATAGAAGAGGATCAGGCTATGGACAACAAACAGAAGTTCGTGACTTATTTGAAACAACAGAAACTCAAATTTCACATATAGGAGATGGATCTAGAAGAACATCGTTAGTAAAAATAATTTACTATATTTTAAATGTATCTTTTTTATTTATATAATTTGTGAAATTTAATTGTATGTATTCTTTTTTTCTATTTTTTTTATAATAGAATTCATACAAATAATGATGATGTGGAAAATATAACAAGCTCTCCTAAGAGAACTTCTCCAATAAATAATAAATTTTCTACAATGCTTCCTAGTTTTATTGATGCAGATATTTTAAAACATTTATGCAGAGAATTAGACAGCGATAAAGTGGAAGCAGAATTTTCAATTCGAGTGAGATCTTAAACTAAATTTTAATTTTCTAATATTTTAATTTATATTATATTTGAATTTTATAATTTTAGAGAAAAATTGCATATGAGGAAGCTTTACGTGTAAAAGGTGAAAATTATTTACATTCAAAACAATCTCAAATATTTTCAAATCCTGTACTAGTAGATACACCGCGAGCATTTTCGCGCCAAACAGCTCGATTTGAAATTCTTGATAGTGAAAGCTTACGTGGTAAGTAATCATAATATTTTTGTTTTTTATCTTAAATTATTATTAATAATTTTTTTAATCTAAATCTCTCACAATATATTTAAAATTAGGATTAACAATCTTGGAATATCTTAGCAAACATGTATTTGTTTCCTTGGGAAGAAAACTTATTTTTGCTAGAGTTTTCAACAAATTTCAAAAAGATATGATACAAAATAATAAATATGTTTTGCCAAATGACGTTCATGAAGCTCTTCAAGATATGATTGGGAAACCTATAACTCAAGAACAAGAAACATATTTAAAATTTATAATTGGCGAAATTAAAGAACCCTTAAATTTTAGAACTTGGTGTGGTTTATGTGCCGCGGTGGAACGATTATTATGTTCTCTTCCTCTAAAAGAAATCGATCCACCTACATGGCTTGAAAGAGTGGATTTTGAAACATTAGAACGAAGACTTAAGGCTATTAATGTAGATCCTAAATTAGCACAATTTTTAAGAGAGATTCGTGACAAATAAAATGTTGAAATGAAATTTTATGATTGAATTTTTTACGTACTTTTAATTTAATATGTTTAATAATTAATTAATGCATTTTTAATTTATTATAAATATTTCATATTATGAATCAGTATTATATATCGATTTTAATGAGTATGAGATTGTAATGAATCAATTTCATATATATTCTACAACTATTTTTCTCATAAAAATGGCATTTAAAATATTTTAACACAAAAATTAATCGTAATTAATACTAGAACTATAAATCTGATTTTAATTTGAAAAAATCAATTATTAATTAAAATAAAATTAATAAATAAAGAAAATTATAGAAAGTTGAGAAATTTAAAGAATTATAAATCATAAATTATTATATTATATCAATAAATTATATAAATTAATAAAAATGTTAATAATTAATAAAATATTGGTATTTGTATAATATTAAATATTTCATATTTTAAAATATTCGTTTGTAATCTAAATAGCGTAGATACTTTCTCCGCACTTGACTTTGTCCACAAATTATGGTTACCAAATGAAGATAAGTCACATTTATGTTTCAACTGCCGTATCGATAAGACGTATCAAAATTTGTTCGATTTTAAATAAAATTTAAATATAGATAAGGTACAGAAAAAATTTTAATATTGTAAATTTTAATATTATAATTTTAATGTTACATGCTAAAAGCAATTATAGACAAGTAGAACAAATAGTGGAAGAAGATAAGGTAAAAATCAGCGCCACCTCTAGAATATCACAAATGAAACATATATAAACAAAAAAACCAAATAATAGAAGAAGAATAAAAATAGAATAAGAATTAACTATCATCGCCATCTCTTAATTTTTCAAAGAAATTTCTTTAAAAAGAGAAGAATTGAAGATTATTTCTATCTTAAATATTTTTAATATTTTTGTTTTTATCACTCAAAAGATGGAGTTGATAGTTAATTCTTACTTTATTTCTATTTTCTCTTATTATTTTATATGCTCTTTTTAATTCCTGAATTTTTGTCTTTATTCCACTATTCTCTTCTTGTTTTATTCTCTGTTCTTACTTGTTTTGCAAAATATATTAAAAATTGATTTCGATATGTAATTAACTTTACTGTTTTCTTTGTTTAATCTATTAATTAAAAATCTTAACAATATTACATGCTGTATATATATTTAATATATATATATATCCATATATACATATATATTTCAAACTTGATAATTATTATTTATTTGCAAAATATTAAAAAAAATATATAGAAGAAATTATTCTTTGAAAAACGAACTAAATATATTTATAGTTCAACTATATTTTGCAAGATTCCTTTTGAATATTTTGATTAACTTAAACTGTAAGTTCCATTATATACACATTCATGGTAGGATATAATGAAAAAAAATTAAATTATGGCATATAAATTTGTTTATTATTATTATCTGTATAATATATTTGAAACAATATCATTCTACAAC